ATAGCCCTGATCTCGCGCCATCGGATTACCACTTATTTCGATCCCTGGACAACTCCCTTCGTGGTAAAACTTTTAACGATGATGACGCTGTAAAATCTCACTTAACTCAGTTTTTGGCCGAAAAGGATCAGACTTTCTACGAGCGTGGAACTTTCAAGTTGTCAGAGAGATGGCAAAAGGTCATCGAACAAAACGGAAAATACATTAGATATTAAACTTCGTTCCAAGTAAAAAAAAATTTTTTATTTCATTGAACAAATCGGCAATTACTTAGTTGCCAACCCAATAGGTCCGAGACCACGTACGTCAACGATTCTCACAGTCTGCAACAGATTTTTCAAACGCCGGAGAAGGCATAGCTTTCGACACCTGCAAATTATTGTTCATAATGCAAATTATGCGTTCGATCGATTCAAAACGTCTCGTCGGAGTGGTAATTTGAGGTTATGAAATAGGAAAATAGTTACACGGGACAAAGGGTAGTAAAGCCTGTTACTGTGGAAGGACCAATTGCTGTGCCTTTGGTTTGTTTTCGGGCGTGATTAATGTTATGTCTATCGAATAAGATATACTAAACTGTTTTATTTAAAAATGAGCACAATAAAAGAACACAAACATAGTAAATTCTCTCCTCTTCTCGGCAATTACTTAGTTGCCAACCCAATAATATCGGCAAAGGTAAACCACGGTTCGAGCCGTCATCCCTAAAACAGAAGTCAATTTTCCAGTTCGCGGACTCGTCTAATTCGCGTGTCCCTCCGACGCAATTGTGATCGCGTACGAAACAGTTATAGATCCTGGCTGGAGAGGATCCGGAAGGATAGGCCGCCGTTCCTGACGATCGTTTCGCTGGAGCTGCCAGACTCCCCAATCCCTTTGATCGAATCTCAGGCGAACTCACGGTCGAAGTCCGAGGAGACGAGTGAATCCGCCGAATCCAAGGACGACGTCCTGGCCGAGCTTCTGGAGAAGGTCACGGCGAACGGCGACGGGAGAAAGAAGGAATCCCATGGTGGAAGGAAGAGGTCCTCGAGGAAGTGCCGGGGCGGGCGCAAAAGGGGCGAGGAGCTCGCGGAATGTACGAAAGGAGTTCCAACCCTCGAAGAATGCACGAAGAACATTGTCGAAGGTCAATACAAACTCCGCCGTTTTGGCGAACGTTTACTCATTGGCATTCCTGGTATTCATGAAAGCATAAAGCAACCTACTTTACGAGGCGATCGTTGTTCATGGAGCTCCTTCGGACCCCTTGATCAATGGCGATTTTCTCTTTAATGAACGAATCTCGGATCGAATCCATTTTCTTTTTACTCCCTCGAGTAATTTCTTTCGGAAAGATTTCTTCGTTAGACTTTTTTAAGGAGGAGGCCTCGGGAGTAAACGTTAAAATAAGCATGATTTTCGGTCATTTTTTTACAACGTAAACATTGATGAAACTTTTCGTTAATTTTCACAGATGTTTTTTGACATTTTAAGATACCTAAATTCCTTTTTGTTACATTTTATCGACGTTCCCTGAAATAATAAATCTTCGTTCTCCATCAACCTCCTGTCGGTCGGCGAGCATAGCATTTTTTCCCTTTAATCTAGAGCAAAATATAAAACGGTTTTTTTCACAATAGAACTACGCGCGTCCAAACCTAATTCTATTTTTAAAAAAAAGTACGAAAGGAATGATAATACGCGGCTTCGAAAACAAAGAAGTGACTTCTACGTAAAATTTGTATTTTAATTATGTCATGAACATAGTTTGAATAATTAATATTAGGGAATCAAATTCATCCTGTAAACAATTTAGCAAGATTAGCAATATTCACTGCAAAACGACGCTCACGATCGGCCAATACAACAAAATCAATGTCACAATGGTGATCGTAAATTTTTAAAGTCTCAATTAGGATTTATTATAATCTCACCCCATTGACTGTGCAAATATTACTATTAATAATACAAATTGTTCATCGCGAGAAAAGTTTCTCTTTCCGGGATGAATTTTATCCCCCTTATTACATTGAGGTCATACAGGTTGCTTGTGCACAGGTGCACGAACGTTGCGCCTATTCAATGCAACCCATTAGACACCTTCGAAATGTCAATTGTCGATCGCTTAAACGCTGTAAAAAATGTATGTGTCCCAAATTCGTTGTTCTTTCCGATTAACTAACAAGTTTTAGCGTGTACAAATTTTAAATGTCACCCTCAATTTAATCCTATTCTTTAGAATATTTGTATAGAATAATCGATAACTCATTCTGTACATTTTCAAAGTAAACTTAACATTTCAGAAATTAAATTAATGTCAAACATTAAAATGTCTCATTTCGTAATAGTAGTTTGTCATAGTGATTTAATTCTGTTAAAAATATCTTGCTTCCGTATTGTCCCGTATTTGAAAAACATATGCGAAAAAAGTTGTCGTTCAATTGAACGTGTGTCATACCATTCGTCGCGTATAATGCAATTAAACAATCTAAAGCTAATAAACGTAAGAACGATCCTCTTTACTTTAGTTGAAATAAAACTTTCTTCTTTTGCTATCAATAATTTAAGCGTCAAAACAGTCGAATAATGAACACAAATTTCCTTTCTCTCAGAAAAAAAATCGAGTCTTATCTGAACAAATGTCTGATTATTGCAATCGTTAAAAGTTAATTGTAATCGTCAAATATTATTAGACGATTTATTAGATGATTAATATTATCAGATTATCAACACAATTCACCGAGCAATATTCGACAACGCTGTTACATTTTCAAAGTCAACCGAAGCGCAAGAAAATTAACTACAAACGAACGTATGCAAAATAACGATACGATCCTCAGAACAGTATAAAACATTATATATAAACAGTATAAAAACAACAAAAACCCAGCCCTTGCAGCACCGAAATTCCCCAGCATCTTTCACCGGACTTTAACGTTTCAGGGCCGAACCGTCGCCGATTGCTGGAGCTCGATCTGCACGCTATCGCGGACTGCATCTGTTCCGAGATGTTGGAAACTTGCCGGTCGAACGGTAAGAAACGGGAATCGGGTGCGTCGCGATCGCCGAGCCCGGAAATCACTCGCATCATTCGGATCGCGATGAACTATCGCGATCGGTTGAGCTGCGGGATCGGCGACGAGGAGGAACCGGGCAAAGACAGAAGATCGAAACCGGATGCAACCGGAAGGGACGCGCCGGTGAAAAAGCAGATCGTCAAGGAGGACGGTTGTTGCAGCAACGAGAACGACGCCTTAGATTTCACGCTGAATTGCTGCCGCGTGCAACTGACAGCCCGTGGCACGAACGCAAAGGCAGCAGTGGGTGGCGGTGGATCGCAACAGGCATCCGAAACGCGAACTTACCCTGTCCCGGTTTTCCCCGTGAACCCTTACATCCGTAAACTTTAGAACGCCGATTAATTCGTTTACACATTATGTGAAAAAAAGGTACCCAGAATTTGTAAATAAAACAAGAAGAACGTTCGTCAAGATGTATTTTGTTGCTGTTAAAATATTGGGTTGGCAACTAAATAATTGCCGATTTCAGTTATAGATGTCTCTCACTCCCATTTTTATGATATCCGTAAATGTTATATTATAAAATTATTATTATTATTATTATTATGTTATTCATTATTATCCGTGAATGTTAGCAACTGGACAAATTGAATGCAGCGGTCAAGGAAAAGCGACCAGAATTGGTCAATCGTAAAGGTGTCATTTTCCAGCAGGACAATGCTAGGCCGCACACGTCTTTGTCCACTCGGCAAAAATTGATGGATATTGGTTGGGAATTGATGTTACACCCACCATATAGCCCTGATCTCGCGCCATCGGATTACCACTTATTTCGATCTCTGAACAACTCCCTTCGTGGTAAAACTTTGAATGACGATGACGCTGTAAAATCTCACTTAATTCAGTTTTTGGCCGAAAAGGATCAGACTTTCTACGAGCGTGGAACTTTCAAGTTGTCAGAGAGATGGCAAAAGGTCATCGAACAAAACGGAAAATACATTAGAGATTAAACTTCGTTCCAAGTAAAAAAAATTTTTTATTTCATTGAACAAATCGGCAATTACTTAGTTGCCAACTCAATAGGTCCGAGACCACGTACGTCAACGATTCTCGCAGTCTGCAACAGATTTTTCAAACGCCGGAGAAGGCATAGCTTTCGACACCTGCAAATTATTGTTCATAATGCAAATTATGCGTTCGATCGATTCAAAACGTCTCGACGAAGTGGTAATTTGAGGTTATGAAATAGGAAAATAGTTACACGGGACAAAGGGTAGTAAAGCCTGTTACTGTGGAAGGACCAATTGCTGTGCCTTTGGTTTGTTTTCGGGCGTGATTAATGTTATGCCTATCGAATAAGATATACTAAACTGTTTTATTTAAAAATGAGCACAATAAAAGAGCACAAATATAGTAAATTCTCTCTCCCTAATTAACGCTCAGATTGCACATAAAAATGGACAATTTGGGGAAAGGAACCTTATCTCGATTATTCGAGCCTTGCGGCTCGCAAGGCTATTTTATAGTAACAAATTATCAACACTATTACACTTCATGTTCGTAATATTATAATACAGGGTATCCCAAAATTATGGTACTTCCGGGAAATGAGGGATTCCTGAGGTAATTTGAAATAACTTTTTCCTCAGCGAAAATGTAATCCGCGGCTTCGTTTACGAGTTATTAACGAAAAACACTGACCAATGAGAGACGAGCTCGGCTGGCGCGGGGCGGTCCAGTCAACGAGCGCGCGAAGCCCAGTTCTGCTCATTTGCTCGACTGTCTCGCGCCCGCTGATCTCGTCTCTCATTGGTCACTGTTTTTCGTGAATAACTCGTAAACAAAACGGCGGATTGCATTTTCGCTGAGAAAAAAGTTACTTGAAATGATCTCAGGAACCCCCCATTTCCCGGAAGTACCATAATTTTGGGATACCCTGTGTCACTACTGTTTTTTAATTTTCTTCAATTTCTCTATTGTGATGAGATAATTTGCAATTTACTCGACAGCTTTACTCATTGTAAAATCGCAGAACAGGCTTGACGTTGACCGACGTAAACAGCTGCTCAGGTTATTTTGAAAATCGTGGACAACGATTGACAGATCGCTGTCGAACTCAATCTCACAACCGAGTGCAGTGTTGCCTATTTACATGCAAGAAATCGTTTCGATACATGCACTTTAGAGAGAGAAATTCCGAGTACATTTTTTACATAATGTATTGTCCAGTTATCGAAAAACGATGCTTCGTTTTCTCGAGATACGTTGGTCCTGTTTCTCGTTATTCGCTCTTGCAATGCGCACGTATCAGATAAACATCGATTGCACATTAATTTGCACAAGGATGCTACGTTTCTCTTATAAGTATGTACCGTCTTTCCTCTCTTCATTTGTTTCTTCCTCTGTTTCTTATCAATTGCTGCATCCAATTTATACGTTCTTCCCTCCCCCCCCTTTCATTAGCGCTTCTCGTTTTCCCAGTTTCTTTAGTCCAGCACAGGTTTCTCTTAAATGCTGTGATGTTTCTCTTTTCAACTCGTATATCCCATGAAGTTTCGTTTCGACCCAACCCTAGTACCGATTTGCTTCTTATTCGTTGCAGCACATAAATCTCGTTATCATTTCGCCATTCTGTTCTGGATACCCTGCTTTACCTTGCTTCGTTAATTTCTTATGAGACTATTGATGACCCCGATGCCCGCAACTTGTTTCTTCCTCCTTCTTTTTCCTTATCCCCAATAATCTTCATTTCAGTGTCGCCTTTACGTAATACATTTGCTAGTTGTTCTATCTCAGATCAGTGCAATCATTAATTACAGTACATTTGCCAGACAGCAAAATAAAAATTCTCTGTATCAATTGGAGGAAATGGAAACTAAATAGAAAATTATTTTCCTTTTTAATCATTCAAGTGGATTAGAAACAATACTTCAACGTTTGTAAATTCTTTTAATCTTTCTACCATTTTAAATTGCAATCAGAAGCATGACATCCGCAGACTAATAATTAATTTCTTCTAGATTAGAGAGGACGAGACGAAGCAAATTAGTGTTCATTTCTTGTAGAAATTCTAATACCTTTGTAAAATCTGTGGGATATGAAGTAATGTTTAAAATGACCACGAGTGATCTTAGTTAGCAAGCACACGTTAATGTGTATAATTAGCATTCTTCTGTTTCTGCCATTTGGAACGATGTTATCTTCATTTTGGAACTTAAATCAGAAGTTTTCAATGTTAAAATTGTGCAAACGATGGAGACGGTAATAGAATTGAAGATGTTGCTTATGTCTCTATGAGACACAATATATAAAAATATTAAAAATTATACATACGAGCCGTTTATTTTGAAAGTGGCACAAGTCACTTTTTCAAAAAAATCGAGTTAATGGTAACACTAATTACAACTGAACGGTATCTTTCCATTAAAAAAAAAAGAAGAAAAGTGACTTATGCCACTTTCAAAAAAAACGGCTCTCATATATATGTAATATAATTAATATATTATATAGAAATATTACAAATATTAATATATATAAATATGTCTCTATTCAACATAGTTGAACCCATGTTATCTAAACACAAAGAATTAAATAAAATATGTTCACACAGATAACCTGTTGCAAAAGCTTGAACTTGTTTCACCGAAACCAAATTATTTAAACTAGGCCGACCAAGATTCAATGAATTTTTCTTATTCTCTCATTTTTAATATCACCGATCTTCTACAAATTCCCTGCGATGCATCCTGACAATATTCTCTCACGTATCAAGCTCAGAGTCTCCGATTGAATAATTAGTTCCTACATAACGCAGAAGTGCCGATTTTTTAAACCAATGTTACGCATTCCTCCACCAAAGTGCCACAAAGTAAGCGACAAACTGCGAGGCAACAAAATAATATCTTCTCGCGATACACACCTCGCGATAATAAATAATTCTGCCCGGAAAAAAAGTACAATTCCATCGACATCTGTCAGTGCTTCGCATATCATATAAAATAGCTGACTCCTGCGATAATTCTTGCGCGCATCTTATTAAGTAAACGTCTAAATGAAAGCTACGATTGCTTATTAAAAGTCTATAAAATTAAGTGTAGCTGTTAGTTGCAAAAAAAAATATACATATAGAATCCTGAGACTGTAAAAGTTAATATATCTTGTGCACATTTCGTTGCGTTTGAGATATGTTAATTTGAAATTTTTTTGTGTAAGTAATGAACAAAAACTGGGACATCGATACAAGAAAAAGACATACTTGCAATAAATATAAACCAGCGCAAATACTTTGGTGAGTATCTTCGATTATACAGAATTTCAATAAATTCGAAATAAATATAAATCTCTCGAATAACAAAACAAGAATGATCGGTCAGCCTACATCCACGTTTTTCTACATCCGTGTTTTTCTATCGAGAAGTATCTCGATCTACCCTTCGATTCTTGTTGTTTTCTCAATAGGTATTATAACGTAAATATTAAAAACAAATTAAAAATACATAAAAAATTAATCATGTATTGAACATACAAATTATTGCTATATTGGGTTGTCAACTAAGTAATTGCCGATTTGTTCAATGAAATAAGAAATATTTTTTACTTGGAACGAAGTTTAATCTGTAACGTATTTTCCATTTTGTTCGATGACCTTTTGCCATCTCTCTGACAACTTGAAAATTACACGCTCGTAGAAAGTCTGATCCTTTTCGGCCAAAAACTGAGTTAAGTGAGATTTTACAGCGTCATCGTCATTCAAAGTTTTACCACGAAGGGAGTTGTCCAGGGATCGAAATAAGTGGTAATCCGATGGCGCGAGATCGGGGCTATATGGTGGGTGTAACATCAATTCCCAACCAATTTCCATCAATTTTTGCCGAGTGGACAAAGACGTGTGCGGCCTAGCATTGTCCTGCTGGAAAATGACACCTTTACGATCGACTAATTCTGGTCGGTTTTCCTTGACCGCTGCATTCAATTTGTCCAGTTGCTAACATTCACGGATAATAAAAAATAACATAATAATAATAATAATAATAATGTTATAATATAATATCTAGAGACATCTATAACTGAAATCGGCAATTACTTAGTTGCCAACCGAATATCTTTTATGTTCCGCTGTCGCCACGTTTTCGCCCGCTAATAAGCTAAATAAATCCTTTACCGGTCGCAGCAATCTCGTGCAATAAACCGCGAGCCTCGTATAATCAAAAATAGCCGCGTCCATCAATAAATACATACAAAAAAAGCCCGGTCCCCTCGATCCGTGCGCTTGCACCAAAGGGCCGTTCGGCTCACCGATGCGTTGCAGGGTCGGCCGATTCGGCCGGTGGGGAAAAAAACTTCGGAAAATTTTTCGAAAACTACTGCGAACGCACGGAATCCGTGGATTTGCCGGGGGCTCGGTTAACCGATTGCAGTCGGTAGCAACGGCATCGAGCACTCGAATCACCGTGACACCGTGGCGGCGGAGCAG